ATTCCTTTGCATACTGATCCAGACTAAAACAGCTATGTCTCTGAATAAACAGAATATCTTAACAACAACATTGTCACAGCTAGAGGTAGACACTTTTTCCCCAGTCTATGTTATTACGTAAACTAGTGGAGGACAAACGTTTCAGCTGTGTGCCACCAGTCAACATAGCAGAGATAGTAGTGTCACGCCACTGTAAACCACAGTACAAAACCCAGACCACGGTACCTACACCAGTGCAGCATAGGACAATTAAGAAAGAGAGCTGAGATAGTCAACCTTGCCAGTTCTTCAACTTCAGCTGAGATGGACCATTGCTCACATTTTATATTGAACATCTAAAAGGTGCCAAGCATTGATGTATGGCTGGCACACTCTTGACCATTGAGCATGCCAATAGACATGCTGTCTCATTACCCCAGATCTGAATATACTGTCACGTTTTAAGCTAAATTTTAAGCTGGGCTACCCAATTCTTAAATAACATTTTCTGACCTTTGCTATCCTGTTCTTTAAATGTGGATAGAAAGGGGTAAAACCAGGAGCAGGTTCCAGCTATATTATTTTCTGCAAATTGTATATTAGCATTAGGGAAGGAGAGGCAGTTGGACTGCAATCTACCCGCATTGACAAGGGACTACTTTCCTCTTAACAGCATTACAGCAACGGCTCAACAGATCTTACTGGAAGAACAGCACTGATGGGATGTTTTTCTGTTATGCATCAGTTAACAGAACCAGGAACTTTTCTAGTACACAGCAACTACAGCCCAGAAGAAAGTAAAGTAAAAAGGAAGTAAAAAGGAACAATAATCATTTCCATTCTTTGTTATAATGGCATCCTCCCCCTAGATCATCCTAGGTGCCAGTATAATTCTGTGGTGTTATTTATTAAATGTGTGTCCTGGAATCTGGAAAGCCACTGGGAAAACACACGGAACAGTTGCTATTGTCTCCAGTACTTCTGGTACTTACTGTGAAAAGAGTAGAATCAAAGTGAAATACCATCAAGGCCTGTGTAACTCTAGGCTGTGGTACCCATTTCCAAGCACCATATCCCAGTACAAAGCAACAGCCTCACACAGAGGCTAGTATGATGCAGTTGTTGTTGCTTTTGTGATTGTTGTAGATGTTGTGTGCCTTCATGTAGATTCCAATTTATGACAACCCTAAGGTGAACCTATCACAGGTTTTCTTGATGAGATTTGTTCAGAGGGGCTTTGCCTTTGCCCTCCTCCTCTGAGGCTGAGAGAGTGTGGCTTGCCCAAGAACACCCAGTGGGTTTCTTGGCTGAGTGAGAATTTGAACTCTAGTCTCCAGATTCATAGACCAGTGTTCAAACCACTACACCTCACTGGCATGATGCAGGCAAATTGTTCATAGATTTGGGCAAAGCCACTGTCCATTTAGAGAGCTCAACAGTCTTTGGATCTGTCACTAGCACTGCTCTCCATATGGTACTGAAAGAGAATTCTGTGGATACCATGCATTGCTACAAAGACAAATAAATGGGTCTAAGAGCAAATCAAGCCTGAACTCTCTCTAGAAGCCAGAATGGTTAAACCAAGGTTGTTGTACTTTAGGCATAAGATTTTTTTTTACTCATTAGAAATGAAAACAACACTTGATCAGGTGGAAAACAGGAAGACTGCATTCCAGGCAGATAGGCTCAACCAAGCCCTGAGTCTGCAAGACCTGAGAAGGGCTGTTAATAACAGGGTGTTTTGGAGTCTCTCATTCATAAGTTGCCAATAAGCCAAAGCCAACTCAAAGACAAATTCACAATAGTTCTCCATATAGCTGGGGATGCCTCCCCTTTCATCCTGGGCTTATTGAAGGTCCTGCACTACTGAGAAGTTTACATGACTCTTCACCAAAAAGGAGTGAAAGAAATTATTCCCTTTTCCCCTACACCTGTCTCCTTCAAAGCAAATGCATACCCAACAGCATCATCACACATTCTTGTTCCCAATTTGTAGCAATTATGCAACTCTTTTCTGAGGAATGCAGAGTCCTTTCCCCTCACCACTATGACATCTTTGAAGCAACCCTGGGTAGTGTGGAAGGCTTACTGGACAGGTAACAAAACCTTATGATAGATTTGCCTTGGGTCACCATAAGTCAGAAACAACATGAAGGCACAGAACAATAACAATGTGCCTTCAAGTCACCTGTTGACTTGTGGCAATCCCATGAATTTCATAGGGTTTTCTTGGGCAAGGAATACTCCTGATATTCATTGGCAGTCTCTCATACAAGTATAATACTCTGTAATGAAATACTGAACATCTAGTGATAACCATATCACTTGAAATATCTTAGTTGTGTCCATACAAAATATGAATTCATAAACAAGCTTTGAATCAAGGTCTCTCCCCCTTTAAAGTGCTCTTCTGTTTTCCTCGTGCTGATCAGTAACTGTGTGATACAGCCATATATAAACCATTACAAAGTGTATTTGGGGAGGAAGAAACGAGTCACTGGTTCATATCTGAGTCCTGCTTGTCAGATCACCATCCTATGATCAAAACAAGCCAGTAACTTAGGTCAAAATCCCTTCTTCCTTCCCTGTGCACACCAGAGATTCTCTTCCAATTAGCTTTCTTGTTTTGCATCTCATCCAGTCCTAAATTTAGAGGAGTTAGCAACAAACACATGCTAAGAGAAGGAGGATGTCTCTGTCTGTCTCCACACTTGGCAACCAGAACCAAAACAAACCCACTAACACATATAGATGGGGAATGGAAAAATTAGTCCAAACTCAATCTACAGAAGCAGGAAAGCCACCAGCCATGCCAAGGCAAATCTAAACCTGCCACCTCTGCAGTTTCATTTCTTGGCAATCCTGTTTCAATTCTCTGCAGTTGTTTGGACCACACACACACCGGGAAAGAGAATAATCTGTTGGAAACTCATCATGAGCAGAAATGATCCCAATGGAGCCATCAGAGCAGGACTTTGGAGCAAAACCCCTGGGTGCCAAAAACAGCACATCTGGCTCATCCACCAGTAGAGTGAGAAATACCCCCTTCCAGCCCAGTCCCAAAACCAAGAAATCTAAAATAACCTAATGTTATAGTTGTCCTTCCATATCCACAGATTCAAGCATCCACGGTTTAAAATATTTTTAAAATCTATAAATTCCAAAAACCAAATCTTCATTTTGCATTTTATATAAGGGACACCATTTTAATGTGTCATTGTATTTAATGGGATTTGAGCATCCATGTATTTTGGTATCCATGAGGTCCTGGAGCCAAACCCCAGCAGATACCAAGGGGCCACTCTAATACTGCAGAATCCTAATTCAGATTAAGACCAAACTAGAACTGAAATGGCCATGTGACAAAGAAATCTGAGATCCTAGATTCATTGATTATTCTAACTGGACTATACAGGAGAGCATACTTTAAGAGTAGCCTTACTGGATGAGACCAAATGCCTCCTAATCTACTCTTTCCAATATAAACCACAGACATACTTCAGAACAGGAGTGAATAACTCTAGTAGGTCCAGGTATCCATTTTCTTCCCTGCATACCCTCCATGGGCTATACCAGGGGTAGGCAATCTTTTTGAGCCTGGGGCCGGGTTGCTTTCCCTCAGACAATTGGGGGGCCGAAGCACCATAAATAAATAAATAAATAAATAAATAAATGATCAAAAATTTAAAAAAAATATGCATGCACACTCTCTCAGCCCCAGAAAAGCCATGGCAACCCCCCTGTGGAGATTTTGCCAAGAAAACCCCAAGAACAAGTAATAACAACAATAATCAATATTATCATGGTGGGTGGCAGAGGGGCAGCGGGGGGCAGCAGTGGCAGGACCAGCCTGGGCCGGTCCCAAGGCCTTGGGGGGCCACATCCGGCCCCCGGGCCTTAGGTTGCCTACCCCTGGGCTATACAAACAGCTAAAAGTACTTTTAAAAATGGGAAGGGAGCTTGAAATGGCCATGAATACAGTTGTGTTTTGGAAAAAGTGACATTTTTAACATTACACAGAGCCTGTAAACTGGAATGGTAAACAGAAAAAAGGGCAGTCTGGAATACAAGAAGAACAAAGGGATAGAAAAACAGCCTAGGGGACAATGATGTCCTTTGCCCATCTCTGCTCTAGAATCTCCACAACCAGAGACTAGAGGAGCCAGCCTCCTTCTTTGTATGCATTTGATATTTAACAGATATGGCGGGCCCTTGGGATCTGCGTGGATATCAAAATCCATGGATGCTCAAGTCCCACTAAATATAGTGGCATCATAAACTGGTGTCCCTTATAGAAAATGGCAATATCAAGGTTTGCTTTTGGAATTTATATGTCTTTTTAAATATCCTCAAGCCACAGATAGTTGAATCTGTGGATTAAAAAAAAATCCATGTGTATTGCCCTAAAACACGGATGTTCTCTTTAGCCATCTGAACTAATAAGTAATGATGGGCTTATTATCCATCATGAATTCATCCAATTCTGATGTCAAGTAAGCTTTCGGAAACCGCCAACCAACCTCTTAAAGCCAGATTGGGTTGAAGTTCTTGAGAGATTCAGGTTGCAACCTGGACATTTAAAAGGTCTATTCTGTAAACAAACAGAATTCACTTCCTAGTGAATGGGGATCAGGTTGCAAGTCTACTCCAGTCTGGTTTTTCTCTGATTACCATCTAAAACACATAGTAAGTACATTTCAGCCCACATGACTCAAGGAAAGGGATCATTTTACTGTTTGTAAAATCACCTGTGAAAAGGATCTAAATCACTCCCATCACCCAGTGACTCCCATTGTGACATCAGCTCTTGATTCCTTATCAGTTCCTTGCTCAAAAGCCTTTTTCAAATGTAATCCAGATTCCCTCTGGGTCTCCTCTTCCAAACCCAACTTATGGCAACCCTAAGGCAATCCTATCATGGTGTTTTCTTGGCAGGTTTCTTCAGGGGGGGGGAGGTTTGCCGTTGTCATCTGCTGAGGCTGAGAGAGTGTGACCTGCTCAAGAAGACCCAATGGTTTCCACGGCTGAGCCAGGATTCGAACCTTGGTCTTTAGAGTCGTAGTCCAACACTCAAACCAAATACACCGCACTGACTCCCAACCCCAGTAAGTGGGTCTGAAAAGCCATACCTTTCCTGTTTACCAAAAATCCCTAGAAAGAGGGAAACATGCCTAGATGCTTTACACACCTGAAAAATGGACGGGGGGGGGGGGAAGGATCGTGAATAAAATAATGCATAAAATGATGACAACCTTCCACCATACGCCCATTTTCAAGGAGAAGGAAAAAGAAGGAGACCTAAACTACCCGATACCTTGATCTGCAGGTATGTATGGGATAATGCTATGTTTGTCTGGCATGCAGGGTTTTAAATCAGACTTCCAACTTGTTTACAACAACTCAGGTAAAACTGGTTTCAAGAGCAGCACTTCTGCTTCAAGGGCAATGGATGAGACTTTGCTTTCCTTTGGTTTTCCTTTCCTCTGTGCTTCCATACACCTGAACCCAATTCACACTGATGTGGAACGAAAGCAGTTCCAGCCCTTCTCCAACCTAAGGACCCTCCAGTTGGATTGGACTACAACTCCCATCATCCCCGGCAGCATTCCTAAGGGTGATGGGGGCTACAGTCCAACACAGCTGGAAGGCACCTGGATGGAAAAGGATATTCACCATGACTGACAGAGAAATCTTAAGTCCAAACAGGCTTTGATTGCCTACTTTTTATGGAACAGGGAGGCAGTGTGGGGTGGTGGTCTGAGCATTGGACTATGACTCTGGAGAGCTGGGTTCGAATCCTAGTTTGGCCATTAAAAACCCACTGGGTGACCTTGGGCAAGTCACACTCTCTCAGCCCCTGA